TGGCCGGGGCGCCGTTTTGCCGCGACGCGGGCTGCGCGATAGACGATCAATCGCGCGCCTTAATTCCACAGTGCTGACTGCGAGGAGGGCACGGGCACATGCGGTATGTCCTGCGTTCATTAATCACCTTGCGCCTGAGTGCCCGCTTCTCGTCGCTGTCTCTGTCACGACGGTTTGGCGCTCTGATTGTATTGTGCGACCGCTTTCGTCACGAATGATACAATGCTTCAAAGATCGCCAATGACGAATCTGGACCTCTACGACTCCACGAAGCCCTGCTCGAACAAATAAGTCGCATCAGCATCGTCGATCTCCGCGCGGGGGCCCTGGCTGTCGCGCGAGACAAAGGGGCGCCTGTTTTGCTGAAGGCACGCCCCTTTCCCATTCTCTGTCACTGGGGCCCGAGCCGCGCGCGGGCTCGGCTGGATCGGCGTAGCCTTTACCCTTGGGGCCAGCGCCGCAAGAATGGCTGCGTCCGCGGCCAGGGCCGCCCGCGCCCGCTGCATGGCGGGCCGTAGAGCTGCGGCCCCAGCGACCGCCACCGGCGTGACCTGTGTAAGGTTCGCCAGAGCCGATTGGGGCCTTGCCAAATGTGCCCCGCAGCATGAATTCGTCGGCGCGGGTCTGGCCCCGGCCCGCCGCAGCCCGCCCCTCCTCCGCGAATCGAGATACTGTTGGGGCGGGGAGCGGGCGTGGGCGATTCTGCTCGTGTCCGAGCTGTTCGGCTATTTCAGCGTCTGTGGCAGGCATGGCCCCCGAACCGGACATGCAATCGTCCTCGACGTCATTGTCCGACTCTTCCTGCGCGCGCCCGCGCCGACGCTTGCTGACCCAATCCACGAGGGGGGCGTCGCGGAGCTCCTCGATCCCGTCGCGAAAGCACTCCGCGCACCGTTCGACAGACATGGCGGCGACGGTAAAGTGGGCCAGAAGACCAAGACGAACTGGTTCCAGAGGCAAGGGGGGGATCTAGTTCGGGGAAATCAACGCATTCGATGATGCTCGCTTCGGACTGGTCTGAGACAGGGAGTGCGGATCCGCCCGCTTTTCCACCTCCGTCGGCAGTGCTTTGTCGCTGCCGCAGGGGTCGCATGTCATTCGTTATCCGTCCTTACCCATCGGATTGAACCTACGTCCCTTGCCCTTTTCCTGTGGTGGCCTACGACCATTGCCCCTGCCTTTACTCCCAGGAACAAGTCTTCAAAGTCGCAGTCGGTGAATCGAGGCAAGAACGTGGCTATGCCTTTGCTGCGCAACCTGCGGGCGCGTCTACCACCCTTGCCACGGCCCTTTCCTTTACGGAGAAGACGCGACGCACAGCTCGCCTGAACCTCCGAACTGGTTTCTTCATATGTCGTCTCTACCGTCTTCTTGCGTGATGATATTCTAAGCGTAACTACTGTGCAGCTACCTCATCACCGGCGGGTAAGCCTGATCCGTCGAGGTTTGCAGTGGTAGAGGAAGCCGCATCGGTGTCCGTGCCGAAGTCGAATATCGTCGCCCCGGTGGTTGGATGAGACCCAGAGGGCAGTCGCTTCTGGTGGTGTGTAGCTGGCCGCTGACGGCCAGTCAATATTTGAGCCATACGCCTGTTCGCCGTTGCTATTGGCGTCTTGGCCCAGAAGCGCAGTGGAATCAGTGGGCCCCCCGACGTTCAAGCTACTAGTCGGCACGGCAGCCGGTGAATCGCTTATTTCGGCGTGGTATGTGCCAGCCTTGCGCCCGCTGACGACGCTCCCGATGCTGACCCGGGGAACGTTCGGCCAAGTGTCCATGGCTGCGCATTCGCTCCAGGAGTTGGTCGGATTGCTCTTTTGCGCGGGGCATCTGATGGTTCAGCGGCTGCAATAGCTGTGCCGCTCGGGAGGTACCAACTCCCCGGGCGCGAAGTAGGATCAGGATCAGTGGATCAGGATCTCGAAGTTGGGGACGTTGAAGCCTGCTGGCTCTGTTTCTAGCCTGGCCAATACTGAGTCAATGCGTTCACCTCTATCGACCCTGAAGTCAATGAGGGCCGTCCCCGAGGTGAGCTGCCGTTCGTCTTCAAGGTTTTAGAACTTTGAACTCAATAGGTACATGATGTATGTGACTCCGTCGGTGCGTCTGCCCTGCCATGTAACACGATGGTTGATGATGGTGGATGGCACCTTCATGGCTAGTGTCCTAGCCAATCCTCCCAGACCACGCTGTAAATCAGCGGCCTGTTGAGGTAGAGTCACGCTTCCGCTTGTGACGTTGAGCCATGCGCACTTCGCGAACAAAGTCGCGAAAGGGTGCGTTGCCTGCGGGGTCCCAGAAAGGGACCTCGAATGCGTGTGTAATCCGGTCCTCCTCCCTGCATGTGTGCCACGGTCAAACCCAGGCATACCCAGATAGTTCCAAAGATGGCAACCTTAATGTAATGCGCGTTCGTGTCGTAGCTAATGGTGATGGGTTGTTCATCATTGGATATTGTCGCGTCCGTTGGATTCCGACTGGGTGCCTGGTCTGACGTGGCCGTCAGTTTGCGGATACATATCGGTGTGTTTGGGTTGTGCGCGGCGTATGGCCACGCGGTGGGGGGACGGAGGTATAGGACTGCAGGTTACCAATTGGTTCGAAAGTATTTGGAATTTAATAGCCAAGAGCCGGCGCAGTCAGGTACCGCACTGTACCGTGGTAAGTTGTTATGTGCATAACACCGAATGTAAGAGCCAGCTAAGTGAAGATGAAGCCAGCTCCGCTACAAGTGGAAATTAAGGGTACAGGACTTGACCATGATGAGGTAATAAGCTGGAAACCCTATTATTAGGATATCGCCGGCGACGTACCGAGATATCCCACAACTCATAACTTGATGGCAAGCATGACGGGAGGTAAGAGAGAAGCAGTGGGATTGAGGGGCGGATCGTAGATGGACGTGGCCTATGTCCGATCCTATGATCCAAATAGAGTCACACACACACACACACACGGCGGCGCAACTAGCAAATAGGACAGCGTTACCTTGAGCCAAGACAGCGTCGGATATAGCGTTCGTTGTACAGCCTCTTCTTAAACCTCGCTTGAAGTCCGAAAACGGTTCCAAGAGAGCCCCAAGATGGCCCCAACAGGCTCCCAAGAGGGCCAGAAGAGGCCTCCAGGAGATCCCAAAGGCGGCCAGCCGAAGGCCTCCAAGACGCCTCAAGACGGCCCAAAAGGGCCCCCAACTGGCCCAAGAGGGCCCCAAGAGAGTCCAACAGGGTCCCAACAAGACCCTGAGGATGTAAAAAACATGGATTTCCCTATGGTGTTTTGTGAGTTTTTTGGATTCTCGCCTTTCCGGGCTTCCGACAGCCGAGGACGGCCCAAGAGGCCCCCAACAACGACCCAAGATGGCCCCCAACAGGGCGCCTAGAGGCTCCCAACAGAGCCCTGAGTGGGCCCCGTGAGGCTCCCAATACGTAGGGCCACGAGAGGCCCCAAGGAAAGCTCCAAGACGACCACAGCCCTCTAAGACGCCCCACGACGGCTCAAACGGGCTCCAGGACTGCCCAAGAGGGCCCCAAGAGGGCCCAACAGGGTTTAACGGGACCCCCAAGAAGGCCCGGAGACGCCAAACTCGTAGCATCAAGGCTCCTCAGAGCGAGCGGGGGCCGTAAACATCTTTTAACACCAGGGCTCCCCAGAGCGAGCGGTGACGCAAAAAGCTCTGAGCACCAAGGCTCCCAAGAGCCCATAGTGGCGTGACAAGCTCTTCACACCAAGGCTCCCCAAAGCGAGCGGTGACGTCACAAGCTCTGAACACCAAGGCTCCCAAGAGCGAGCGGTGGCGTGAAAAGGTCTGAACACCAAGGCTCCCTAGAGCCCATACTGACGTGATTAGCTCTAAGCAAGAAGGCTCCCAAGAGCAAACGGTGACGTTACTAGGCTCTGAACACCAAGGCTCCAAAGAGTTCACAGTGACGTGACAAGCTCTTGACACCAAGGCTCCCAAGAGCGAGCAGCAACGTCAAAAGCCCTCAACACGGAGGCTCCCAATAGAGAGCGGTGATGCGAACAACTCTTGACGCCAAGGCTCCCAAGAACAAACGGTGCCACGAGCCATCTCGGGCAAATTTCAGCTACGCTGTTTATGTGTCCCTGCCGGCCCACGACTGATGGCCCCCGCCACGGCATCCGCCCCTCATCATCAATCCCCTGTTGGCCACCCCGATCTGAGCCCGCTCGGCGCCCCCTGACGTCCGCACGCCGTGACGAAAATGGCAACAGATGTTCGCAACTTGTCGGCCACCCAGGGTCCTCGCCGGGCCACCGGGCTGTCAACAAAAACCCGCTCTGGATGAAAGACCGGTCCCGGGGACGTGGACATCGATTCCCGAGGGCTGCTGGTGTCGACATCGATTCCCGACCGAGGAGTGCAGTAACCCAGGGCTCTTTTCGTTGAGATAAAAACACTCGGCGGCAAGCGCGCGGGGGGGAGCGGGAAGGGGCGGGCCTTCTCAGAAGGCTCGAAAGTCCCCCAGCCATCTGTAATGTTTTCCTGAGACTTCCCCGAAAACGCAGGGAACTGCTCAGAAGGCGCGAGGGCTTCTGAGAAGTCCCGCGGCCTTCTGAAAAGGCCTTCTCCTTCTCACTCCCCCCCCCCCCGCCCGCCACCGAAACACGACGAGGGCCATTACTGCCCCTTCTCGGCCTCCTGGGCCCTCGCCGGGCCCCGGAACCGTTGAAGCGCGGCTGGGGACGAACAGCCCGTCCTGGGGCTGTGGTCCAGACCTCTGGGTCCTCCACGCTGCGACAGAGACGACGTCGGAGGTCTGGGTCCGAGCCCCCTCGGCCGCCGAAGCGCCAGCCGAGTGGGCTCGCGTGTGGCAGAGCGGTGGGAGCTGGGCCCGCTCGGCCGCAGAGCGGGCCCGATCGGAAGCCTTGTCGGCGGCCAAGTGGGCTCAGACGCCAGCTGGGCTTTTGGAGCCCGAGGAGAGAGGAAGAGGGGGAGGGGGGATGAGGGAGCAAGAGGGAAGAGTGGGAGGAGGAGGAGGATTTCAAAACAAAGAACAGGAAGAGGAGGCGCAGGTCTGCACATCGGCCACGTCGGGGGCCCGCTCTCGGGCCGAGAACATCGGGCGCCGAGGGAGATCAGAGGAGGACGAACGAACACGAGTACGAATAGCTGCCAACGCTCAGGGGGGTGGCCCGAAGGGCGGGCGACAAGTGTGCTTAGCACGCAAGGCCTTCGATGAGAACCGGTTCGCCCTGAGATCCGACGTTGTGGAAAAATTCAGCATCGCAAAAATATCACGACCAGAACCCTGGACCCGATCTGTCTGCTACATTTTGGGAGCCGGATCGATATGCGAGGGTCCCGTGTGGCCCGAAACGGGGAACATTGCCCAGCGTTCAAGAATAACAGTGTCCGGATCTGAGGGAAGCGGCTGCTGCTGAAGGTGGACGGCCGCCTCTTTTGAGCAGGGACCGACCGTCCTGGCACTCCTATAGGCCTACCGCGAAATTTTCTGGGAGCGAAACATGTTCTCAGAACCAACTACTGCTCTTAGAACATATAAAGCCGACGCCGTAAAGCGGGACGGCCTCAGCCAGAACTGCTCGAAGACCATGTCGCGCGAGCCGCAACAATTTCCCAGGACACTCTCTGGTGGGCCTATGGGCAGGCCAGGACGCCTCGCCACTGCCCGACTTTCCCCGCCGCGCATGCTCATAGGAACGCGCGGTCGGCTTGGCGGCGGCCACGGCGCCGCGCCCACGACCGGCAGCGCGGGGGCGGAGCCCCTGCCGTCGGGGCCCTGCTCTTGCCCGGTGGAGGGGGCACCCTGGCGCTGGACCTCCGCCATCCGTCCTCCTCCATCGGCCCTCCGTCGGTCCTCCGTCCGTCCTCCACCTGTCCTCCTCCATCCTCCCCGACTCCCCAACCACCCTCCTGCTCCACCCTCCCCCGCCCCCTCCGCCTCAAGTCGAGCGTCGGCGATGCCTACTCCTAGGATGGGGGAATGCGGTGTCAGGCCCTGCCCCACTGCCCTCGCCGCGGCGTCGTGGCGCCCGCGCGCCGTCGACGAGCCAGCTCGCGTAAAGGCACTGGCCTCCGCGGGGCCCAGCGCTGCGCGGCGGGCTCAAAGACGGCGCAGGGTGCCACAACGTAGAGCGAAATAAAGTGGGCTGATAACCTGTGGATGTAGGTTAACGACCGAAGAGTCGAATCCACTGATATGTCCGTCGGTAGAGGACGATTAGGAAAAGACGGGGGAACCCTTTCCCCGTGCGCCGCGGGCGAGCGGCGCGAGTCCTGTCTGATAGGACAGTCCAGTGCCTAAGCCGAGCCCGTAGCAACATAGATGAGCAAAACAAGTGATATGAGCGGACTCCACGCACGCGCACACGGCGGCGAGAGCTGGCGACAGAAGCTGCCACGGTGGCGGCCGGCTTCTTCAGAAGGGCTATCGAGGGAATGGGCGGAGGCGACGGTGAGCGGTGGCCCGCCATGGATGGGCAATCGCCTTGCGGGGCGGCCGCAACCCTCCACCGAAGCCCTGAAGCAGCTCCACGGCCCAGATCCGTCGATCGTCAAGGCGGACGTCCAGACGTTCAATGCCGTGCTTTACGGCGACGCCATGCTCGGCGAGTGCGCCGGCTACCTGTTCTACAACGTGCGCCAGGCCTCCAGGGAGGCCGCGCGGGTGCGCGACCTCCTCCCGCTGCCACTTCCGACGACGGGCAAGGCCATTGAGCGCGTCTGCATTGAGGGCCGCAAGGCGCTCCGAGACAACGGCGGCGACCGCCACGAGCTGCGGCGCCTCGCCAGCGCGGGCGCCTGGGCCCAGGCTGGATGATTTTCTCCGACGGGTTGCGCGCGGGCGAGGGGCTGCTCGAGAGGCTCCTTCTCCCTGCGCGCGCCGAGCCCGCGGAGGCGCAGTCCGTCGCGATCGCGACGCTCGAAAAGCAAGCCGTCGATCGCGTTGACCGGACGGGCCAGGCCCGACACCGAGCTGAGCTTCTACTCGGACGGCGATGTCGCTTCGCCCGAGACGCTCACGCTAGCTCAGATGGCGACGTCGTTGCCCGACGCGCGCTTCTGCGGGCGCCTCTGGGCAGTCGTCTCTTGCTCGGCCGAGATCCGCGATGCGTTGCCCCTCCCCGATCGAAGGGCGGAATGGCCCGAAATCCGCCTGACCTGCGCCCATTGCGACGACGACGAGTGGGGCCTCCTCACTGCGGAGCTTCTCGCGCCGAGGGGCCTCGCGCCGATCGAGCCGTATGAGATTCCGACGACCTCGGGCAGGAAGCTCCTCAACGGGGCATTCGGCGTCAGAACGCCGGCGACCTGCCGGGCGGCCACGACTTCCAGTTGCGCTTCACCGCCGCGCTCACGGACAATAATTCTGCGCAGTTTTGGATCACATGTGACCTGCCTGCGCTGCCCCTGCTCGCGGAGTGTGAGCACGTGGAGTTCTGAACTCGTGCCGTTATGAGCCTCTGAGGACGACGTATCGGGCTGTTTCCACTTGTCTCAGCTCTGGGCCGCATGGGGGAAGTATTTCGAATTCTCCAGGCCTCCCCGTGGCCTGGGCGGCGTCGAGCAGTATTTGGCGTTAAGGTGATCCCGATGAGATGGTTGTTTGCGGCAAGCATCGCCCAGCAACGAGCGCGGGCGCATCGCCCGCCAGGGCATGCGCGACTCTGCGAAGCCAGCTGCCGATAGCGAATGCGCCCGCGACCCGCCATTCCCAAAGACTGCGCCGAAGGTGTCAGCCGCATGGCCTGACGAGCGCTGATGGTGGAGCATCTTCGTCGACGACCCCTATAGCTCGCGGAGGTATTCGACTGCTCGGTGGCCGAGACGCTGCGGGGGGCAATTTCGGACAGGCACCGCGCGCTGCGCGACGCACTGGCGAAACGCGACATCCCGCTCGCAGCCGCGCGGGGTGTTGTTCGACAGCCGCACGCCGCGCGGAAGGGCCTGCTCGTCGACGGGGATGCGGGGGCAGTGAATCCGACAATTCCCACGCTGCTCGAGCATGATCAGCATCGCGGCATGTGCCTTGGATGGGGCCGAGGTCTCGAAGCGCGCCCACCAAGGCATAATCGGCCGGGGGAAGTCGAACTTCATGACGCTTCGCCACCTCTTCGCTTGCTTTGACACCGCGTGCAACTCCATCGAGGATTTGGCCGGCCGGTCGACCGTGGTGGCCCCGTTGAATTGCCATGGGCGGTGCGTCAGGAGCTCACGATCTGCTTCGTGTCCGTGCCCCGTCGCCGTCACCGACATGAGGCTCGCCTTGAACGGCAGGCGCATCGCGACCGCCTCGTTGTTATCGAGGTCAGCAGTGCAGCGCTCGGGCTTGGAGGTGATCGCTGGCACCCACTGCTACGGGGTGAAAGCCGCGCGGCAGGTTCACATCCGCAACTACGGAGGCGATCAGAGCCCCCCGCGAGCACGGCCTCGCCCGTGGCGAGCTGGAAGACGTCAGGCGCGAGGCGCCTCTCGCCGCAGTCGCGGCTGCAGCCCGCGCGCTCCCCGCGGGGGAGGGCGGCCACCAGGCCCCTTATCAGAACGGGGCTGCGGCCCGAGGCGCGCAGGAGCAGACGGGCGTAGCCAGGTGCGCGGCCATCTTCGATCTAGCCGTCGAGGTACGCGCGGTTTTCCCTGACCACCCCGTCCTAGAGATCTTCCACTCGGCCCGGGATATCAGCGCCCGCGACCTCCACCTCGTGTCGGAGGCAATGGCCTAGAAGCCCTACATGTCGACGCACGCGGGATGTCGCGCGCCACCAGCTTGCGATGATTCTCGACATTCCCCATGATCACCGGGTCACCAACGCGCGAAGTGACGTTCACAGAGACAGAGCACGTCGCGGATGTTGACTTCAACTCCAGCTTCGAGTGCGACCAGGCGCGGGTTGACCAGGGGTCCGAATTCGGACGCGGCGACGGGGCCCAGCTCCTGGCGCTCGCGCGCGCGGAGCACCGCGCGCAAGGGCCGAAGGGCGCCGCCGGGATCGCGGACGCGCCCCCCAGCGCACGGTCGCGGTGGGTGGTTGACCACTTCCGACTTCCTATGTGCGAGGCGGGGATTTGTCCATATCCACCGCCTGGGAACCGACGCCCAGGTGCCCCGGCGGGCGGTGGATATGGATATATCTTGGCCCCCCGGGGGCCCTAATTCACCCATATCCACCGACTGCCATGTGGAGATCCGCGAAGATCGATCCCACGGGCGGTGGGCATGGAGAAATTCCCTGCCTCGGACAGCGCACCGCACCGAGGAGGAGGAGGAGGAGGAGGAGGAGGAGGAGGAGGAGGAGGTGCTTGTCTGTAGGGCCGCGCGGGGCACGCGCTTCGCGCTCGCGCTTCCGATGATCTCCGAGCGCGAGGCGCGAGGCCCGAGGCGCGGCCGCGGACGTGGGCGCCAAGAACAAGTTTGGCATGCTCGTGCTTGCACCGCAGGTGGGGGTCGTCATGCGGCTCCTCGCCCAGGGCCTGGCCTCGGAAGGCTCTAGATCTATTTCTGAGGCGCGACCCCACGTGGCACCCGGGCCACCTTCGCGCGCGAAGCCGCGCGGATCCGTGTGGCGAGGCAAGTGGAGTTGGCGAAGTTGTCGGAACCGAGCTCCACCGGCGCACGGACCATCGCGGCAGCGACTGGCCGCCGCGGACGTGTAGCGGCCGTTTCGGCCCGCCGAGTGGCCGCGCGATGGCATGGGCGCGAGGCGCCGGGCGTGGGAGTGCCCTGTCGGCGTCTCTTGGGCCAAGCATACATGCACCTGCATTTCAAGCGCTCCTTATCGGGTTGCGCCGGCGTGCGCGCTCCGCGGCGCCCCTTGCGCTGAGGGCGCGAGCCGGTCTCGCCGGCGCCAGTTTCGCCTGCGCCGGTTTCGCCCCGCTGGTTGCGCCGACGGCTGGTTTCGCCGACGCTGGTTTCGCCCCGCTGGTATCGCCTGCGGCCGGTTTCGCCGGCGCCGGTTTCGCCAGCGCTGGCATCGCCGGCGCCGTCGTCGCCGCGGGCGGGCGGGTCGAGTCGTTCGGGCCCGAGCGAGCGGGGCGCGTCGGGCGGGCGGGCGAACCCGGCGCGCGGGTCGGGCCCGGCGGGGGGACATTGAAGTGCGGGGCGCGCGCGGCCGAGCGCGCGCGAACCATTGCGGGCGGGCCAGGTTGCGCGGGCGGACCCTAGCGAGCGGGTCGGGTCGCGGCGGGTGGGCGGGCCCTAGCGAGCGGGTCGGATCGGGTCGGGGCGGGCGGGCCCTGACGGGCGGGTCGGGTCGGGCGGGCGGGGCGTGAAAGTGCGGGGCGCGCTCGACCGAGCACGGGCGAACCCAGGCGGGCGGGTCGGGGCAGGCGGGCGGGTCGCGGACCCTGTTAACGGGCGGGTCGCGTCGGGCGAGCGGGACATTGAAGTGTGGAGCGCGCTCGGCCGAGCACACGCGAACCCTGGCAGGCGGGCGGGGTCGGGCGGGCGGGCCCTAGCGGGCGGGTCGGGTCGGGTCGGGCGGGCGGGCCCTAACGGGCGGGTCGGGTCGGGCGGGCGGACGTTCAAGTGCGGGGCGCGCTCGACCGAGCACGCGCGAACCCTGGCGGGCGGGTCGGGTCGGGCGGGCGGGCCCTAGCGGGCGGGGCGGGTCGGGTCGGGCGGGCAGACCCTAACGCGCGGGTCGGGTCGGGCGGGCAGACCCTAGCGGGCGGGCGGGTCGGATCGGGCGGGCGGGCCCTGACGGGCGGGTCGGGTCGGGCGGGCGGGGCGTGAAAGTGCGGAGCGCGCTCGACCGAGCGCGCGAGAACCCTGGCGTTCGGGTCAGGCTGGGCGGGCGGACGCTAACGGGCGGGTCGGGTCGGGCGGGCGGGGCATTGAAATGCGGGGCGTGCTCGACCGAGCGCGCGCGAACCCTAGCGGGCGGGTCGGATCGGGCGGGCGGGCCCTAGCGGACGGGTAGAGTCGGGCAGTTTCGCCGACGGCAGCTTGTTTCGCCGACGGCAGCTGAGTTCGCCGACGGAGCTGGTTTCACCGACGGAGCTGGTTTCGCCGGGCGGCGAAACCAGCCGGGCGAAACCAGCCGTCGGCGGAACCAGCGGTCGCCGCGCTGAGCGTGGCAACTGAAGAACGCTCATCGTCCATCCAGCTCAACCGTGTCCTCCGCCGGTTTAGTGCCTTCCGCCTTGCCGTCAACATCCAGCCACTACGTCTACGTGCGCACCTCGATAAACCCGGCAGACGCTCCCTCGCGACTTGGCGAGTGCAAAACCGCTTTGGCCAAGAAGCCATGGCTAAAGCAAACGCCCTAGCTCAGGCTCGTCGGCGCGCTGCGAGAGTGAGCAGGCACATCGCACGTAGAAAATTGGGCACGCTGGGTGATAACGCGGTGACCCCACGCATGTTGTCACTGTGCACCGGATCTGCGGGCGGTTCTCGCGCCTGGCTTTCGGCAGCCACACCTTAACGCGACGCGTCGCGACAGAGGACGTGGACGACGCGCTGGTCGTCTACACTGAGCTCTCGTGGGAAGAGGGTGAGCCCAAGAGTTGGGCATCGTCCCGCGCCCCTCCGCTGACCAAAACCTTGCAGGATTTTCGTGCGAGATTGGCTCCGAGCGCGTGGGCGGCGGCTCGATGCTGCCTTTCCCTTGTTTTTTTTTTTTGTGCGCAGGGCAAGCGACTTCGAGTTCGACCACCGCTGCCCGAGTGGCGTCCGCAACCAGCATGTCACGAAGGACGGTGTCTGGCGACGGCAGCAGGACATGTAACCATTGACGACTCCACCCTCGTGCAAACGAGTGCACGTTTGTGCGAGGGAACACTGCCCGGATACACGACCATCAATGTCAGTCAGGCTCGCTTCAGGTCGCTCTTCGTGGACCTTTGATTCGCATCCCAATTGGGTGCCATTCGCTTCAAGCCGTACTCCCTCCGCCGTGTCGGCGCCACCTACCATTACCGACGGTACGGCAACCTTGACTGTACCGCCCTGCGGAAGCGCTGGGAGTGCCTCAGGACAGCACGCATCTACGTCACAGATGGTTTGGCTACGCAAAAGGAGATCCATTTCACACATGAGCACTTCGATTTGTTTCGGCGCTTCTGCCGCTCTCTGTTGAGGGCAGCCGCAGGCCAGCAAGGGCTGGGTGGAGAAGCTAGTCGGCGAGGCCTGCACGATCGCGGGCTGATCCTCCATCACCGCGGTTGCGGGCACCGCCACGGCAGCAGCGGTGCACCCGCGCGCTCGTGGCCTGAGCTCCACCAGAGCTGACGAACACAGCCGGTGGCGAGCTTGGTGCACCCGAAGCCCCCAGCGGTGAGGACTCGAGCGCGCACGGCTACGCGTCCCCTGCGGCATCGGGCCGCACCGGGTGGTCGGAACATCGAAACCGAATCGGGTCGAGCTGGCCAGACTCGACATCGAATCGGATTGATCGGATCGTGGACACCGCAGGGTGGCCCGAAATCCACCGCGCCCCGGCTGCTCTGGAATCGGCGGTGCATCGCCGATAGATCGGCGATAGGCCTACTCCGACAGCGAATCCGCGCGTTCCTGGGCGTTGGGGGCGATTCGGCCCCTGAGGGCGATTGATGGGCGATTGGGTGGTCGATGCGTTTCCCCCCCGCAGCCTATCCATCCCCAACGATGCCCCAGGGCCACCTCTCGCAACATTCGAGTAGGGGATCGGCAACATGATGGATTTACCCCGACATTGTTCTCCCGCCAAATCTGCGAAACCTTCGTAGAATTTTAGCAGGTCTATGGATCATCACGCGTGCTGTTTTGCAGATTCGACTGAATGTGTTTTCTCTTTTTTTGGGGGGGGATGAATTCTGCAGTCGATCCCTTGCTCGCAACGTCCGGCCGATCCGAGGAAACCGGAATCCCCGAATGCTCACGTCCCGCTTCTGCCTCCGCCGCCTTCTGCCGACCTCCCGCCGACCCTCCGCCGTCGGCGCCGCCGCCGTTCCGCTCCCGCCGGCAGCCACTGCTCCTCCGCCGCCCCCCAAACGAGAACGAGACGCGTCGAGGCGAGGCCTTCCCTGCCGCGCGCCAGCCCAAACATCCAGCCGGGTGATTGGTGCAATGCGCGGCCCCAGAGGTCCCGACCTCTTGGTTGGGGCCAAGCTTGCGCCCAGAATCAATTTTGATGGTCCCGGGGCCCGACAGAGGGGCCCCAGAGGCCCAACTCGAGACACCAGCAACGATTTCAAAAAGACATCTCGTCGGGAATCTGGGGCTGTGGACCCGGACCGCAGCAAGAGCAGCGCCCCGGATGCCCACGGGGCGCACGCGAGCATCGGGCCGTCAAGCTGCCCCTCGCCCTCGTCGCTGGTGGCGGGGTCCTCGGCACACCCCAGTGACGGCGCGACGCCCACACGAGCGTGATCGGCTACACGCAGGAGCGCCGCTGGGCAAGAATGATTGTCAGCGCGCGGCTTGCCAGTCGTTGCATGCGACGCGGCACCCCAAGACCTCCGACGATATGTCGCCGCGCTGTTTGTCCTCGACGCGCACACTGGACGACGCCGACACAACGGCAAACCGGTAGACGAAGCCGACACCGCGGCAAACCCACGGCGAGCCCACCGCGTCCGAGGCGGTGTTTGAGACGTGGAGTTTGCCATAGTGGCCGTGGCGCCCTCCCAAAACGCAAGGCCGCGCGTCGGAACAAACGGCGCGGCGACGCTACGATTTCTGTCTACTAGCGTGATTCTCTCGATCTGGGCCTCCGGGGCCAGCTGCCAGGCACTGAGGCCACCAACACAAGGGATACTGGGGCGACTGGCCCCACAAGGAGGGGGCCGGGACCTCCAAGGCCGCGCGTTGAAAAGCCACATCGTCGGATGTCTGTCGGGGAGGGGGCGACATGGCAGGATAGCAAAGGGTCGTCGTCGTCGTCGTCGTCGTCGTCGTCGTCGTCGTCTCGTCGTCGTCGTCGTCTCGTCCTCGTCGTCGTTGTCGTCGTGGTCGTGGTCGTCGTCGTCGTCGTCGTCGTCGTCGTCGTCGTCGTCGTCGTCGTCGTCGTCGTCGTCCGCGTCCTCCTCGTCCTCGTCCTCCTCGTCCTCCTCGTCTTCCTCGTCCTCCTCGTCGGCCGCCCCCCTCGCGCCACCCCTGCGCACGCGCTGCCCAGTGAGTTCGGCGCATGCCGCGCAGCCGCGCGAGCGCGACAGCGCCCCGCGCCCTCCGCGCCTGTCTCTCGGGGGGGGCAGGATAGAGAATCAGCTCGCGCACCTGGTTTCCTGGCGCCTCCTTGCGCCGGGAGGCGCCCACGTATACGTGGGCGCCTCCCGGCGGAACAGGAAGACTAGCAGCAGCAGCAGCAGCAGCAGCACTCGATATATCGAGAAGTGGGCCCAACGGCGGGGCGGAAGCCGGCCTGCGCCTCCTCCTCTTCCTCCTCCTCCTCCTCCTCCTCCTCCTCCTCTCCTCCTCCTCCTCAGCCGTTCTGGTTCAAGCTATTTGGCCCTTTCTTACACAGCATACCTTCAGAACGGCCGAGTGCTGCTGCTAGACTTCCTGTTCCCGCGGGGGCGCAGTAACGATTACTCTTCCACGTGGCGGTGTACGGCCGCCATCCTCTGGCGCCTGGCGCCCTCGGGATGGCGAACAAGGCAAGCGGAGGCAATGCGGCCTCACGTGGCTCGAAGAAGGCCCAGAGATGCGCCCTCCTGGCTACGGCATGGTGTTGTAAGAAATGCAAGCACCCGTCTTCGGGCCTGGCATGGTGGAGTCACGGAAGTGCTACCAAGTGTACGAAACGCAGGCTTGCTGAAGGCGTCGTTCTCCTCTGCCAGCGTCCTGTCTTTGGGCCTCCGAGCAAGTCTGGGACAGGTGGGGTCGACAGCTGGCAAGTTCGCGGATGCGCCTTGGCAAATGTTCCAACGCTCGGCCATCGCCAAGCTGGAGATGGAGCTGGCCGGGACCAAGGCGGAGCTCGCCAAGGCTGAGAACAAGGACAGCGACAGCATGGGCACGGACGCCTCGGAGGCCGACGACATTCAGAAGAACAGGGGGCGCATCGCCGCCATCGACGACAGCCTCTCTCGCATCAAGGATTCGAAGGAGGCCGCGTTCCTGGCCCTGCGTAAGTCTCTCGAGGATGAGCGTGCCAAGCTGCGCACACTGGTGGCATCGGCTCGCCCTCTGGGCGCGCGGCTTCGCGACCGCGCACAGCGGTCGCTCAAGCTGGAAAAGACGCGCGAAACCCAGGGCGAGGTCGCAGCGCAGATCGAGCAGCAGATGGACATTCTTCGGCCCAAGCAGCTGGACCAGCAGAACATCATCCATGAGACGGAGGCCGAGCTAGAGAATATCCAGGCTGAGCAGAGCCGCTTGGCTGCCCTTGTCCCGCAGGCGCCCGAGAGCGCGGCGGCCTCCTTGCCCGCGTCGGGCCCGGGCGTCGCGGTTGAGAAGCTCGGCGCTTCCTCCTCCAGAAACTCGGCGACGACGGCGCCATCCAGAACCAGCTGGACGGGGCGATCCAGGGTCTGCGCGCCCTCGGCGCGGCCCAGCAGGAGCGGGGCCACCGGCGACACTTGGGCGCTGCTGATGTACCTGTTCCCGCGGATGCTGGACCTCCCGGCGCGGGCCTGCCCCCTGGCGGCGCGGGCCCAAGCTCTGAGGGGCCTGCGCAGGAGATCCCCATCGGCGCCAGGGTCAGGGAGGATGACGCCATGGTCCTGGACGCGGACGCGGAGGACCTCAAAGCCATCATGGCTGGGGCGGGGGCCACGCCGGCTGCTGAGGAGTCCGAGGCGCGAGCTCACCACAAACGACTGCGGGAACTCATGCAGGCCAACCTGGCAGTCGAAGCGCAGAAGCGCAAACGCACGGCGCACTGTGGCTGCCCGTTGGGTGCTATTGTTGTGTGTCGCGGCCTGCTTCTGTGGTGGTCATGCTGCCCCTGCGCAGGCACTTGCTGGCGCTGCTGGACCAGGCGTGCAGCGGGCGGCTGTCGCTGCTTCGTGTGATCGGAGGGCCTCGCCTGATGGGCGCGGCACCACGACGTATCCTGTGGCCAGGGCTGGTGGTCCACATTCTAGGCATGTTGCTTCAGGATGAACAGGCGCATGGAACAGGAGCGAATCCCCCTGGGCCAGGTTTCGCCCGCGGGCCCCTCCACGCCAAGCCTGGCGCGCAGTGCGTCGGCTACGCCGATGCCAGGCCGGGCGCGGCAGCCGACTGCACCGCGCTCAAGGGCGAGGTCGTCACTGCGAACGTCTCTGATGGCCGGCAGCTGGCGCACTTCTTGGAGCGACGCAAGGGGGCGCCGGTCGCGGTGCAAAAGCACATGGCGAATGAACTACATCTCCGCGACCTCCAGCGACGCGCCGCGGATAAATGCTGGCAAGGTTTTTGGGCGGCTGTTGAGGTCACTTACAAAGGTGGCTATTCAGATGGATTGGCAGTCGTATCTCGCGGCCGCGCTGCGATCACGGCGCCCCTCGCCGTGCGAAGCCCGCGTCGGCGCCCGGCAGGGCCATGGCGGCCCGCGCGCGCTGGGGCCTTCCAGGGGGGCTGGTCACCATTGCGGTTTATCTGGTCGTCGGTGGAGGTTTATCTTCGCGCAGCGTGCGCATTTCAAATGAAGTGGCAGCGTGCGCTGGCGAGATTACGGCCCGTGGGCTTGCTCGGCTCATCTGCGGGGGATTTCAGAATGGAGCACGGGGGGCTGGGCGACTTGTCTTAGTTGTATTCCTTGGGCGGCGTGGCTGCTCGAGCCCGCGCGCTAGGCGCGCGCAGTCTTCGCCAAGCCGTCGCATCGACGCGTTCATGGCCTCGGAGCGGCTGCTCACTCGCACCAAGCCGCCTTGCGTCATCGAGGATGCGGGCGCCCTCCCCGCGCACCTGCGGCCGTGGATGTGCCGGTGCAGAAGCGCCAGTTATGGGTCAGGTAGCTTGCTGAGCCGCATTTGGTACCGAGAGGGCCTGGGATTGGGTGTTCGCGATGGTCTGCAGACTGGGATGGGCCGCTCCTTCGCGTCCAGACCGCGCGCGATATTGCATCTCTCCAGTCTGCTTGGGACACTTCGCTGGAATCTTGAGCGCAGGAGGCGTGCGAGCGGCGCGACAAGGTCGGTGGAGCCGCCAGTCAGCTAACCAGTGGACAGGTTCATTTCACGTGGTCGAAGCTGGAGCCTCCTATTCCCAATCGCCCCCCATCTCACTCCGACGTCGAGCACGCATGGGCCGCGGCTGCACGCCGGGCCAGGCATGTGCGCAGAGTAAGGCAGTCTATCCGTCATCAGATCTCCATGCTCTTGGCAGGCCGAGGTCTGGATGCTGGGCCCCCGCGGTCAATTCTAAAGCCGGCACGACATCTTCTGGATTATGAGGTGGCTCTCGCGCATCAGCGCCTCCTCAGCCATTCGCTGCATTGATCCTGGGGCGCGGCAATTCTTTGAGCCGTGTTTGATGTGTTGTCCGACCCGCACGTGGAGGACTACGTTGACTCGATCCATGGCTGGGCTGAGGAGGTGCATGATGCGTTAGGCAAACGTTACCTGGAGCAGTGGAAGAGGCGGGCTGAGAGCTCGGTCGGTCGCGGCGCTGGACAGGCGCATCGATTCTCCGAGGCATGGGCGGCCCAAGGAAGAAATATTCGACTGGGGCAACTTAACAAATCGCCATGCACAGCCGTGTGTTATGGCCGAGAAGTCGATGAGGTCCTGGAACAGCATATGGTTCCGGCATGATCAACAGTCGCTGCAGCTCCCCGGAGATTCGCGCGGGCGGGCGGATCTCCCTCCCATCTCTGTGGACGTGGTCAAGCGGGCTGTGTTGCCTTTCCCTCGGCAGACTGGAGTTGGTCAGCTCCAGGTTCCTCCTCGCAGCGGTACGTCGGCGATGCTGGGCTGTTTGTGCTGAGCAGGCACTTGTTTGCAAATGCGAGGGGGTGCTTCATTGGCCGCAAGAAAAGCTTGCGACCCAGATGGTTCGCATCCCCAAAGAGTCGGGTGGTAGTCGCTTGATTGCTATGATTCGCACTCTCCTTTGTGCATGGGGGCGCATGAGACGGCCCCTTGCAGCATCGTGGCAGGATGAACATCATTCGGGCGCCTCCTGGGGCACGGGCGCAGGGCGCTCCTCGAGCGACTGCGCCTTCAGCCTCAACATGGAGGCGGAGATGGGCCACGAGCATGGCGAGGACGCCCTACGTGCGTTCCTGGACATGAAGTGCTGCGAGACGGTCAAGCTCGGCATGTTGCTGGAAGAAGCGAGGGGTCCGCCTCCCGATGCGTCTTTGTTGGATGGCTACTCAGACATGCGCGCAGCCGCGGGCAATCAAGGCCCATGGTGGACTCAGCTATGCTGTGGTCTCGCTGCAGGGCAACTTGGCAGGCAGCCCGATGGCCGCCGCGTTGCTGATGGTGCCACTGCACCGCGGCCCGACGCATGCCGCTGAGGCCTTGCCCAGCGGTCGGCCCCGTGCGCTGATAGAAGATGTCGGCTTCCAATGGGTGGGCGGGCGCGGGAAGGCTGGGCGGTCGTGAGGGGGGGGGGGGGGGGGGGGCATCCGAGCTAGATGCAGCGCTGTGTGCTTGCGTCGAGGACGCGAAACCTCCAGGGCTGCTCGTCTACTTTCCGAAGACTGAGTTTGCGGCCAGCACGACTCGCGCCAGGAAGCGGTTTTCTCGTTTTGCTCGGCTTCTGAAGTTGGCCCCCAAGAAGGCCGCGCGGAACTCGGGCACCAAGTGCACGGCCCCCCGGCCCAGAGGTTCTAGGGGGCGCCAGGGTCCGCAAATGTTGCAAGCGCAAGGCCGAGCACACGGCGCTCCGCCGCGCGGTGGGGCGCAAAATGGCTGACCAATGGCGCGCTGGACTGACGCCGTCGGCGGGGCATGGCGCAAGCGCGCCAGGGCTTTCCGATGCGGCGCCCCGCGCCCTTCGCACTTTGGCGGGGGGAATAGCCGGGGCGAAGTCGACGTGCTGCCTGACGCTGCACCTCGCCACCCAGCGTAGTTTTAAGTCTGATCTCCTTTTTGATGCAACGATTCCCGCGTTGTGCAGGCACGCCGCGTGGATGTGGGATCAGCGCGTCAGCCGTGGCCATCTCCGTCGCGCTTGGGGGCAGGATCGCGCCGGGCCCTCGCGCCGTGCGATGTGGACTGGAGCTCGTGGCCCCATCTCGTCCACCTTCCTCGCCCCGCGCAAGATCGGGTGGTCTGTGCTCTCGCGTGGCGCGCTGGTGGATGACGTTGGCAGGCAGGTTGATTTGCTTCGCACATGCCCCGCCGATGTCAAACGTTTCCTCGAAGAGGGACATCAGCGGTGGCAAGCGCAGCGTATGTTGTCATATCTTCCAGACAGAGCTGACGAATCTTGTTGGCTTCATTCAGGCAGTGCGTGCGTCTGTCCTAGCAAGTAGCAGCCCAGCCCGGAACGGAGCTCTCCGCGCGCTCTGGACGGCAGGCTGCTGGGCTCCTCAACGGCTGCGCTCAGTTCAGAAGCGAGTGTCGGACAGATGCTTCGTTTGCCAGATTGCTGTGGGCACGCGCGCCCATCAATGGTTTGATTGCCCTGGGGTGTTTCAGGACAACGAGGAGCGGGGAAGTAGTCTTGTGCCCGACGATGTCCTGGAACACAAATCGGAACTCCGCGAAAGGTATGCCAATGCCAGCGGTGCCGTATGTGTGGAGTGTTTCTTTTTGTCATATGGGCCGCCGCCCCTGCCGCCATTTCTCACCAGCGCAAGCTGCAGGAGACCTCTGCTAAGGTCTTTTCTTGGATGGTTCAAGTGGTGGCACAAAAGGTGGCCCAGCTTGATGATCCTCGTTCCTTGGAGCCCAGTAGCACTCCCGTGGTCAAGAGCGTGTTTGTCTCTCTCGTTGTCACTGCTGACGAGATGTGGGTTTGCAAGCGCACGGAGGAACATCGTTGTGCGCTCTGCAACCATTTTGCTCGCACGCGTGCTTCACTGAAGGCCCTCCTGCCCATTGAACGTGCCCCCCTCGGACATTGAGATCGGGGCCGCGGCCCGCTATTTCAGTTTATCCCCCCGAGTCCTTCGTCCCGCTTAGAGCGTCTCCTCGGCTGGATGAGTTCGAGGCGAACAAAGGGCCTTGACCCCCCTCCCCTCCCCCCCTCGTTGGGCGACGGGGCGGGTGCCGTGAAGCGTGAGCTGGAGGCTTTCCGTGCACGAAGTCACGAGGCTGAGCGTCACGGGAGGGAGCTGATTCGACCGGAATGCGGTGCGTTCATTGTTGATCAAGGCCGCAACCCGAAACTTGCTCGGGCCTGCGGCGGCCGCTCCAGAGTGCCGCCGACCAGAGCTAACGAGGAGGCCCAGGTGTCCAGGGCCTTGAGAGGCCTCCCCCCTCGAACGCGGGAGCCTATGAGCCTCCCCTCTGGGGCGCCTGATGACCGCGCCTTGGGGCCGCCGCCGTTGTGTTTTCTTTCGCAGAGCGAGGGCGCGGAGGTTTCCTCCTCCTCCTCCTCCTCCTCCTCCTCCTCCTCCTCCTCCTCCTCCTCCTCCTCCTTTGTCCCGCCCCTGGAGGGGGGCTGGAGAAGGGAGGAGCAGGAGAACGGAGCGGCGGCGGACGGTCGGTCGGCGACGGCGGCTTCGTCAGCGGCCCCCCCGCCGCCCGCGCTGCGCCTGTTGTCTGGACGTGCTGCGGGAGGCGCGGACGTGGCCGTGCAAGCCCCCGCCCGCGCGGCCCCTAACTGCGGGGCTTTTCGCCCCGCCTTTACCCTCGAATGGTTCCCGTGATTCGGCCGCCCTTCTATGAGCCCCCTCCTCCTCCTCCTCCCTCCTCCTCCTCCTCCTCCTCCTCCTCCTCCTCCTCCTCCTCCTCCTCCTCCTCCTCCTCCTCCTCCTCTTACTCCCTCATACATGCGCCTCATACCCCCTCCCCCTCTTTCTCCCCCCTCGGCTTCTGAGCCCAGTTGGCGCCTGAGCCCCCCTTTTCGGCCGCCGAAATGGCTGCAGTTCTGGCCCACTCGGCGACCGAGCGGGCCCCGTTCCCACGGCCCTGCCAGAGCCGAGCCCGTCTCTGGCTGCCAATTCGGCGGCCGAGCGGGCTTGGGCCAACGGCCCCGGGGCCCAGCGAGGGGCTCAGAGGCCGAGAAGGGGCAACGCAAGCACCCGTCGTGCTTTCAGATCAACAAGAGGAACCCTGGGTTCCTGCGCTCCTCGGTCGGGCTGAGGCAGCCGAGCCACGACCGACCGGAAGGAGCTGCACAGAACTGCAAGACGACCGGGAATCGGCGTCGACACTGGCAGCGCTCGGAGGGCAAGGGCAAACCACACGGGGAATCGGGCCCCTCCCGCCCCTCCGGGACCCCAGACCTTTCCGAAATCACCGCGCATCCCCAAAAACGCAGACCTCAGCAGCGGCCGATGCCTCGGCCAGCGCCCACGAGCAAGCGGGGCGCCCAGAGCAGTGGGAGAGAACGGGGAGCCACAGGCGGCCAGGCACCCACTGGCGAATGCGGCAGCCACGGGCATGTGAGGTCAGGCATTGGGCCAGGCACCCACGGTCGAGTGCTCGGCGGCGAGCCCGGGAGGGGAGTGAGAAGGGGCGGGCCTTCTGAGAAGGCTCGGAAGGCCCCAGGTCTTCTGACAAGGTTCCTGAGCGTGCCCCGAAGACACAGGTTCCCTGAGGTTCTCAGAAGGCGCGAGGGCCCCTGGGAAGCCCCACCGCCTCCAGAGAGGGCCTTCTTCTTCTTCTCACTTCCCCCCCTCGCTTGTTGCCAAGGAGTGCGGCACCCGGGGCCGTAGGAGGCCACAGGAGGCCACCGAAGACCTCTCAGAGGCCATGGGAACAGGAGGCCACAGGAGGCCAAGCACCCGCGGGCAAGTGCGGCGCCCAGAGCCACGGGAAGCCATCGGGAGACGTACGCGGCCACATGAGGCCGAGAACTCACGGGCGAGTGCGGCGCACGGGGCCGCGCGCGGCAACAGGAGGAAGCGAGGGGCGGCGGGAGGCCCGGCGCCCACGCCCCGCCATTCGCCATCCGAGACCAGCTCCCCAGAGATCCTGCAAGACTCCCGGCGTGGAACCACTCTGGGCGAGAACGAGCCCGTCGAGGGAGGCTGCTACGCAAAGTGACACGCGCGGTGGGTGTGCGACGCGAGACAGGCCGCATTCTGGATAGTATACGACCAGAACAAACAAAAGTAATTATCCTCCCTCCCCCTCCCCCTCCTCGTTCTCATTCGCACCCTGGCGTTCAACCTTCAACGGCCAAGGCTTTCCAACGCAGTAGACACGACAGTAAATCTTGCTATATTGAATATTCGGGCGCATGCTTCGTCGGTCCTTGAGGGTCCCAAGGTGCCCCAGAGCTTCTGTGGGTCCCTGGGGCCTTCCAATCCTTTGGGAGATAAGACATCTCGGCCGGTGGGGCACGTGCTGGCAGGCCGATATCTTATTTGATGGGTCTACTATAGCTCAGATCGTTCGATGTCCGCCGATTCCAAGCGACTTTCGACGCCCAACCTCGAACGCCCGAACAAGGGCCACCGGCCGCGCCAACGCGACACGGCGCAAACCCGCAATGCCCGCCGACATCTGGACCCAGACCCGAGCATGAGCAGGCGCCCCGATGGTGGCTCACGCCCGCTAATTATCCGGAAGGGGGCGGGTCGGCCGCCGACCAAGATCGAACGGGTGGGTCGGGGGGGGCAGCGGGTCAGCTGACATATCTCCGCCTAACATTGTAGTCCGTTTGTTTTCGTTTTCCGTCTCTCTGTCTTCGTTCCGCCTTTGCAGCAAAAGGCACGAATAATTAACGAAAACGGTCGACGAATTCGTTCAAACACCGCCTGGCTCGAGCCCTGTCAGCTCATTACCTGGCGCCGCCCGGTGCGCTGGAGACGCCAGCGTGTCGAGGGAAGCGCCTGGCGGCGGGGCCGAGACCAGCTTCATGCAGCAGTTCCCCTTCGACCGCCCCGATGGCAGATTACGGCCGCTCTCTCGAACGAGGTGCGCCCGTTCGGCCACCGAGCGGGGTCGATCCTAGACCTGGAGTTCTGGGGCCCAGAGCTCTGACGACTCGACCTCTCCGGGCCATCAACCTCTCCAGAGCTCCCGACCCCCCTTTCCGAGGGGCAACGTCAGGGGTGGACCAGTTCAGGGGGGGGAACATCGACCTGAAAATCGGCGATACATCGCCGACAGATCGGCGATGGGTCCCCAATGGCGAATCCACACGCTCCTCGGAGGGTGGGCTATCGGGCCCCTTGTTAACTAGGGGATTGGGGGTCGATGCACCTACCCCCCGGCCCGATCCCCTTCTGCCGATTCCCCTGAGCTTCGACTCCGACCCTGACCCTCAACCTCTGACCCTCAACCTCTGGTCTCCCAAAGCAGTTCGGGACGATCTGGGCACCCCCGGACGCCCCCAGCGAGGCGCAGCCGCTGGACCGCATCCCGACGCTGGAAACCCCGAGAGGAGAGAGCCCGCGAAAACGTCCTCGAGCTTCGATCGCCCCCACGTTGCCCCCCCCACGTTGCCCCTGATCAGCGGGGCCCTGCTGCAGGGCCCCAGCCGCGCCGTACGGCCGTCGCGAGCGGGCCGCCCAGGCCGCGGTGGAGACGCTGAGGCGCGGTCCGCTGGTGGCGATCGGGCAGGGTTCCTCGCTTCGGGGGGGCGTCGGGGCCCAGACACCCGACGTCGTGACCCGCCTCTCCTGCTTCCTCTCCACGCCTTTTCCTTGAGATACAATCAAAACTTTGATTCGGAAAATTATCCGCCGATCCGGCGTGTGAGTTTCCAGGAGTCTCAGCTACAGCCTCGAGGCTGAGCCTCAGCCTCTGGGGGGGTTGCCGGGGTGGCTCTGCCGGGGAAGGGGGGATGGGGGGGGGGGTGCGAGTTTCCGGCGGATGCGGGGTGACGGCCCAAGAGCCCCCCCAAGCGTCCCCAAGAAGACCCCAAAGATGGACGAAAAGCGGAAAAAGCGGAGGCCCCAAGAGCTCCCAAGAGGGCCCCCAAAAGCCTCCAAGAAGCGCCCCAGGACGCCCTGACAGGCCCCTAAGATGCCCCCAAAAACGCCCCCAGACGCCTAAGAGCTCCCAAAAGGGCCCCCAAAAGTCTCCGAGAAGCCCCCCAGGACGCCCTGACAGGCCCCCATGTCTGCGGCGCGGGTTGGGTGGTGTGACTGCGTGTGCGCGTTTGAGTGTGCGCCCATAATGTCTGCGTCTGGAGAATAACCCCGAGCGACCCGGATCGGCGGCACTGGCCGAAGGCCACTACAATAAATGAAGACATCTGGGCCAGCTTTTCAGAAGTTTCGTAAGGAAACGTTGGGCCAGCTTTTGGCGCCAGGATCGTACACTCTTCATTCCAAGTTCCGCTCAATACGACAATGACAAGAACTGTTGAACTTTGAATAGAAACTCGTCTTTCATGATTCAATACATTTACCACTGAATTTGTTCCATTGCATTCCATTGCATTAATACTTCCCGTGATGTAATCACCAATCTACGAAGACTATTCAAACTCATGTTGCTTAACTTTCCCGGAATGCTTTAATGCATCAAATGTGCTAGATACGCCTGGTCCAGTAACTAGGATTTAGCGATATGCCTGGTTTGCGAACTGACAGAACTATGATTCAATAGCAGCTGGGCAAGCTTCTGGTTATCCGGCAAATTGGTTAAGAAATCTGGGCCAGCTTTCCGGCAAGTTGGCTAAGAAACGCTGGGCCAGCTTTTCGGGAGGAGGTTTCTTTATCAAAAGCGGGACTGGAATGCCTCCTTGTCGCACCCCGAATCCAATCGGAAGGGCAGGAGATGCGTTTCGCCTGAGAGTTTCTTACCCTTTCTGGTCCCGAAGCGCGGGCCGCTTCCAAAGTGTGGGTTTTGCCGAAGCGCCGCGCACACTCGTCTCAAACAATTGCAAGAGTTTCACGCATTGAAGCGGGGCGTTTCCAAATTGTGACTCTCGCTTTAGCGCCGCGCGCACTTGTTTTACAATATGGAAGAACTTTCACGGATTGAGGCCGGCTATTTTTCAAAATGCGGTTTTCGCCTTAGCGCCGCGCGCGTTCGGTGTGAATTCGCTTGGCGAAAAACCCAACCATATGCACTTGTGGGCACCGTCGTTGTATGCACCGCATTCGGTGTAGCTCCCCATGGGCCCACGAAGCGTGTGAGAGGTGTGCCAACATGGGTGCGGCGGCCGCGTGCGAGCGCTGGCATGTGGGCATTATGTGGAGCTCTCTACCAGGCCACGAAGCGTGTGAGGGGTGTGCCAAAATTGGTGCGGTGCGCGCGTGTGAGCGCTGGCATGCGGGCCTTCTGTGGGGCATCCTAGGGGGCCACGAAGCGTGTGAGGGGTGTGCCAACATGGGTGCGGCGGCCGCATGCGAGCGCTGGCATCTGGGCCTTCGGTGTAGCTCCCGAGTCCACGAAGCGTGTGGAGGGTGTGCCAACATGAGTGCGGCGGCCGCATGCGAGCGCTGGCATCCAGGCCTTCGCTGGAGCTCCCGATGGGGCTACGAAGCGCGTGAGGGGCGTGCCGCGATGGGTGCCGTGGCCGCATGCGAGCGCTGGCATATGGGATTTCAATGTAGCTCCCTACCAGGCCACGAAACGTGTGAGAGGCGTGCCACAATGGGTGCGGTGGCCTCATGCGAGCGCTGGAATCTGAGCCTTCGGTGTAGCTCCCTATGAGTCCACGAAGCGTGTGAAGGGTGTGCCAACATGGGTGCAATGGCCGCATGCGAGCGCTGGCATCCGGGCATTCGATGGAGCTCCCGATGGGGCTACGAATCGTGTGAGGGGTGTGCCAAACTGACGGGGGTGACGGGAGGAGGGAAGGGAGGAGGAGGAGGAGGAGGAGGAGGAGGAGGAGGAGGAGGAGGAGGAGGAGGGGGAGGAGGAGGAGAGGAAGAGGGGAGGCGCGGGGACTGTCTCTCCAAAACGAAGACCCAACACCACAAGATGGTTGGGAACAGATGCAACAATTTCGCGGATTGAAGGCGGTTCCTTTTGAAACGTTGCTCTCGCCTTAGCGCCGCACACTTCCGTTAGCAGAACTGGTGTTTTGGAACGATCCAGGATTGCTGCGGCGAACAGTTACATTGATTCGCGGCGTTGGGGTCCCAGGAATACCTTTTCAGGCACGATTCAAGATCGCCAGGACGCAAGAGTCAGGTCGATTCGTGGCGATGGAGTCCCGAAACAGCTGCTTTCGAACGCTTCAAGATCTTCAAACGGCTGTCTCCCAACGGGGCACTTTGATCAGTAGGTATGAATCCGTGCAGGTAGGGCCTATGAAGAAGGAGCTCGGATGGAGGGTTGACCCAAACGTTGTCGATGAGTCTTGGGCTTACTCTGGTCTGCAACATTGTTGATGAATCTTCGGTGTACAATGTTCCTCCTCCTCCTCCTCCTCCACCATTCCATTCTCCTTCTGAATACCTTATCTCTGTCGCACCCCGAGGCTGGTCGAAAGGGCGGGCCGGGCGTTCCGCGTGACACTGTTTCGCGATTTGTGACCCTGAAGATTCGAATTTGCTCAAGTTTCAAAGATGGAGGGCGAGGGCGGCCTGCTTTCAAAATGTGGCTCTCGCCTTTGCGCCGCGCCGACTCGTCTTCACAATTTGCACGAGTTTCATAGATAGAGGGCCAATCGTTTTCAAAATGTGGCTCTCGCCTTCGCGCCGCGCCCATCCGTTTCCAAAGTTTGCAAAGAATCCACGGATGCAAAGCGGTTCGTTTTCAACATGTAGCTCTCGCTTTGCGCCGGGCACATTCGTCTTAGGAGTTCGCAAAGCATTTCAATGACTGACGCGAGTAACATCCCAAGAATAATGTTTTGGCACGGCGTCGGAATGTCAAAGCGTAAGAGTAATGTGGGTTCGCGGCAGTGAAGTCTCAGGAATGTTCTGGCACAGTCCAGGATCGCCAAGACGCAAATGTAATGTTGACTCGCGGCGTTGAAGTCCGAAGACTGACGTTCTGGCACACGTCCGGATGTTCAAACGGTTGTCTTTCAACGGGGCATTTCCTTCTGTGAAGATGGATCCGTGTAGGAGCCTATGAAGAGGGAACTTGGCGGGGAGGTATATTTCAATAATATCGTTGATAAGTCTTGGCTTTACAATGGTCTTCCTCCTGCTCCTCCGCCATCCTGCTCACCCCGCCTCCCCTTCCCTCCTCTTCCATCCTCTTCGGAATTACCTCCTCCTCGTCCTCCTCATCTCCTCCATCCTTCCTCATGGTAAAACCACCACCATGCCGCTGGGCACGGAGCGGGCGTGTCCTCTGGTCCTTTACCTAAGCCGCCAAGCCTCAGTCCTCGATCCGAAGGATGTAAAGGGCCTGAACCCCAATTTCCTAAATCTCTTGGGGCTTGTCAGGTGCCCCCTGGGTCCCGTCGCGTCTTACCGCATGTTTTGTTCAAGCCCAAGAGGACCCCAGGACGGGTCAAGAGGGCCTCAAGAGGCCCTCAAGACAGCCCGAAAAGGCCTTGAGACGTCCAAAGACCACTTTAAGAGGCCCAAGATAAACCCAAGACGGCCCAAGAGGCCTCCAAGACGCCCAAAGAGGCTTCCTCAGAAAGCCCCAGTGGCAAACATCATTGATTGTCGTTGGGTTTTTGAAAAATCTTGGCCTTCTCGTCTTTCCGGCTTCCCAACTCTTCAAGACGGCTCGTTAGGCCCCCAAGATCTCCCCAAGACGGCCCCAGAGGCTCAACAGGGCCCTAAGACGACTCAAGAGGCGCCCGAGACGGTCCAAGAGAGCCCAAAGACGGCTCCAAGACTCCAAGAGGGGTCCCGAATGGTGAGCACGAACATACATGTCGAGCCCTCGGTCCCCCCAGGAGGCCCCGAGGGGACCCCAAAAGGCCCCCAAGAGGCCCCCGAGAGGCTTCCTTCCAAAAGCCTTGGAAGCGCTCCGCACGTACCCCAAGAAACATCCCTGAGAACTCTGACCCGCAACCCAGGCACGCTGGCGGGATGGGCCGAATGCCATCAGAAACCTCCTCCCTGTCCCACCCCCAAACATGTTGGCAGGACGGGCCGGACGTTTCGCCTGAGACTATTTGCAACATTGTGGCTCTCGCCGTGGCATCAGAAAGTTCGCAACATGTTCAAGGATGGAGGGCGGTTAATTTTCGAAATGTGGCTCTCGCTTGAGCGCCGCGCACATACGTCTCAAGTGTGTGCAACATGTTCAAGGAATCGTATAGGTGAGTCCCAGGAATAGTGTTCTGGCACGATTGAAGTCTGTCAAGACGCAACTTCGTGAGACGTGATGCTGCAATCAGTGCTGTCTCGTAGGCCCTCGGCACAACGATGCCCGACACCAGGGCGGGGACCAACGCGTGGCGGGACACGTCTTGCACACTGGTCAAGTCTGATAGGTTTCCGCCACCAACGGGCGGGAGCCAGTCGCACGCTTGCTGCGAAGCTTCAAGAACAGGTGCTGGGGCAACTGCAAGGGCCACTACGTCTTCTCGTGCTTTCGCTCGAGGTCGCCCACGCCCGCGCTTGGGAACTGGCAGTGGCCCCAGGTGTGCGCGCAGAAAAAGGCCACGTCGAGCGTGACGGACATCGCTGGCCAGAACATGCGGAAGAGCTAGTTCAGCGAGGTCGCGATTGCTGCTGGCGCCTGCGGCCACGAAGCCTGGGACACGCCGTCGCCAAGAAGACTAGACGAATTGCCGCAAGCTCCAGAGGCGCTTGCGGCGCAGCTGCGAAGGTGGGAGTGGAAGCACAACTCCGCTGGCGAGGTGCGCGTCACCGCCAGGACGGGCGAGGCGGACGCTGCGTGGACGCCCAAGCGCGGACTGGCGGGTGCGATCAAGTTGACGCCGATTGAGGCGCCTGTCCTCGCCGAAGTCCGCTGTGAACGCAGCGGCGACACGGGCGGGGCGCCCGCCGCGTGCGCCGGCAGGGCGCGCAACACCGGCGGCAGGCGGGCGGGATCTCAGGGTGTGCGAGCAGCCGGATCGGGAGGAGGCAGAAGAGGAGAGGTCAGACCCACGGTCGTGGGGAAGGGAGCGGCAAAATCTGGAACAACCCGTGGAGGGGATGGGGCATGTAGTTATGTTGGTCCGGGCTGTGTAGACGCAGTCCACCGCTGCGTGGATGCCGACCAATGCGGCAGGGCGCTGCCCTAGCTGCATAAGGGCCTCGCGGGGGTCGATGAATGACACGTAGTCGCCCCAACAGCCCACAGGTCCTCCAAGCTCAGTCCAGCACGTCATGGCCGCGTTGATGTCCGCCGCAGAGCTGGGGCACTGGTCTACTGGAGTCGGCTCCTGGCACGCGGGGGTGTCGGTAGGACCTCGCACCAGTGCGCTGTAATACAATGGGCGGACCGTCGGCGACGCGGAGGAGTAGGGCATCGGGCTGGGGTGGGGCGTCGGGTGGGGCGTCGTGCTGGGGTGCGGCGTCAGGTCGGTCGTCGGACTGGGGAAAGGAGTCGGGTAGGGCGCCGTGCTGGGGTCGCGGGTCAGACAAGGCGCCGCGCTGGGGTAGGACGTCGGGTGGGGCGACGGTCTGGGGGAGGGCGTCGAGCAGGGCGCTGGGCTGGGGTAGGGCGTCGCGCTTGGGCGTCGGGTAGGGCGTCGTGCTGGGGCATGACGACGCGTAGGGCGTCTGGCCGGGGGGAGGCGTCGGGTGGGGCGTCGGGCTGGGGTAGGGCGTCATGTAGGGCGTCGGATTAGGGTAGGGCGTCGGGAACGGCGTCGAGGCCGTCGGTGTGGGGGAGGGCGTCGGGCTTGGGTAGGGCGACGGTCGGGTCCATGCTTGGACTGCGTGGGGGGTCGCACGTCTGGCGGCCGAGGACGCCCTAGTACCTGGGGTCGTGGAGGTCGGCGGAGGCGCAGGCAAGCAAGCAAGCGAGAATGGTGCGGACGGCAGGGGGAAAAGGGTATCTGCTCGGCGGAATGGGCGCTCCGGCATCCGTCATTCGCCTCGTCGGTCTCCCCGGGCACCGCGTCCTCCACCGCGTTTCTCTGGGTCGCGAGCCTGGCGTCGCCCCAGCTATAGGTCGCCTCGTCGAGGATCCCTGTGACGCACTCGTGTAGCATCTGGTCCACGGCGCCCGGGGTGTCAAGTGAAAGCATCCCAGATGGGGTCGGAGTACATGTGGTCGGAGGATTGCGCCGCATAAGCGATGCATCGGCGATGCGCCGGCGACGCATCGGCAATTGGCGGTGCATCGGCGACGTCGACGTGAAGCAAATGGGGCTCCACATCGAGCCGCACCGCCGATGCATCGGCGATGCGACGCGATCCTCCGACCCCGTCTACTCCGACCCCATCTAGGAGGCCTAGATCAGAGCAGGCCAGGCAGACAGTGAACAGGGCCGCGCCCAGGAAGGCCAGCCGCTCCAGAGCGCAGCGCGCGGGTCGGCGCCTGGCATCGTGCTGCTGCCGCGGCGCTGGTGGTGGAAGCGGCTGGGCGAGCCGTCGAAGACCGCGTGGCGGCCAGCGAGCAAGCGGCGGGGCAGCATGGGCCACTGTCGCGCCTCCCGGCACCAAAGGCCATGGACATCGCTGGTCCCAGCCTGGACCGCTTTCCAGGCACCGTCGGGGATGCGGCCGCGGCGCGGGCCTCCAGAGGCGGCGGGCGCAGGGCGGGGCCAGCGCCGACCAGGGGCGTGGCCGGGGCAGTGGGCAGGGCGTCGGGGGCCTCCAGGTCGCAACGCTCGACGCGGGGCGCCCTCTCGCCGCGAGGGGGCCCAGGGTCGGCCGCCATGGCGCGGGGCGCCCGCAGACGGGAACGGCGAGTTGCACGAGGTACACTGGTGTGGTTGTTGTTGTTGTTGCTGTTGTTGTTGTTGCTGCTGCTGCTGTTGTTGTTGGTGTTGTTGCTGTTGCTGTTGCTGTTGCTGTTGTTGTTGGTGTTGTTGTTGTTGTTGTTGAACATTATTTATTCTAAAGAATAATTATTGTTGGGCCCCCTGGTGCGCGCCCCCCCTGCGCCGCCTAGGCCGCAGCTACATTTTCATCATTTTCGTGAGGAAGCCTCAGAAAAGAGGGTGTGTACAGGATCCGGTTGTTTTGTTGTAATCCGCTTTCCCTTGCAAAAAACAATAGAAAATGACATTTCTTGTTCTAATATAATCAAATTTCAAGAATCCCTTGCAAAAAATAAGGTAAAGTGGACATTCGCGCGCGCAAGACGAAATCCTTCCAAAACCTTAGTGTTCGCAGCGATTTTAACATAAAAACATCAAAAAACCAATGGTTTTTCAACAAAAAAATGTCAAAATCTCATCCCGCGCGCTCTTGCGGATTCGTAGGAAACCCAACACTTTTTAAACATTTCTGTCAAACGGGCTTTTGCGAGCAACTTTTTCGAACTTCTGCGACAACGGTTGCGCACCTGCCAGGGCCATCATCCCTGTCAAATAATACCATGCGGGACACCTCCTCCTGCTCCTCCTCCTCCTGCTCCTCCTCCTCCTCTTCCTCCTCCTCCTCCTCTCGCTCACAACCATCGGGACAACCATCGGGACAACCATCGGAACAACCATCGGGACAACCATCGGGACAATCATCGGGACAGTCATCGGGACAACGATCGGGACAAGCACAACCATCAGGACAACCATCGGGACAATCATCGGGACAACGATCGGGACAACCACAACCATCAGGACAACCATCGGGACAACCATCGAGACAACCATCGGGACAACCATATCCTCTCTCTCTTGTGTATTCCCACATCCCTCAGGAATTTGCCCTAAAGATGTGATCAACTATCTTGTGAGTACGTATCATGTGTATCATGTGTATCATGTACCATATGCATCATATGCAACAGATGTTCTGTGGAAGGCTTAACAACTTCTGTGGGTTAACAAGGCTTAACAACTTCTGTGGGTGTACGAACGTAGGCTTAACAACTTCTGTGGGTGTGTACTCCACGCCAGTGTAGTAGCCACGGTCGTCCGCAGGCCACGAAGTGAAGTGTCCGAACGTCATAGGGCGGGAAGCTGGGTGTGGGTGGTGGCGAAGAGTCGTGTGGATATTTGGTAGAGCTTGCACTGCCCCCCCACAAGGTGGGGGTATTGGCTGGCGTCGCATGAAAACCCTGGCACTGGTGAGAACACTGAGCGTTCGGGTAAAGTGATTGTTGTTGTTGTTGTTGTTGTTTGTTGTTGTTGTTGTTGTTGTTGTTGGTGTTGTTGTTGTTGTTGTTGTTGTTGGTGTTGTGTTTGTTGTTTGTTGTTTATTGTTGGTTGTTTGTTGTTTGTTGTTTGTTGTTATTGCGTGCATTTGAGCCCGCGGGCTTTGAGCCAAGATGGACTTGAGCCAATTGCCTTGACGAGTTCTGGAAACCAGTGAAGCTCCAATCGTGGATTGGCCATGGATACATCACCGTGACGAAAGTTTCTTTCAATCTGCCGTCGCCGATAGCGCATCAGCGCGGAATATTTCGGAGTAGGAATACTCCAACTACTCCGCGCGTGGGCGCATCCCGCGCGATAACTCATAGGGTTTGGGGCGGAGTAGTTTCCAAACTGGTTTGGGGGTAACAGAGTTATCAGCATTAAGGGGATCGGGAACTCCTCCGCCGAATGACGCAGTCATCATGTCATGTTAGTGATATCTAAAGGAATCGGAGATATCATCATCATGGCAGATTGAAGGAAAGTTTGTCCCAGCTGCTATTACTGCCGCTCTCATCAGATAAGAAATCCCCCAAGGTGTGAAGCCTCCTAGATACATTCCGTAACCAACGCCCCAGCCGTAAAAAACTCGGGTCCCCAAAACTGTCAATCCCAACAATCCTCGCGTCGAGACGGGAAGAATTCGGCTATTTTCCGCCCCCCACCCGTGAACAACTGGCTCGGGATGAAGAGCCGGCCTCGGGGAAGCGGTCCAGACCTCTGAGAAGCCACGGTGCGAACAGAAACACGACGTGGGGTGTTGGGATGTTTTTCTCGTCGTATCGAACCACTAGCGTTGTTACAGGAACTTTGACACCCACTTCCATCCAAAAAATTGTGGGGGTGCATCTGTACAACACTAAGTGTCGATCACTTCTTCGAATCAATCGAGATCTAACTACTGTCTACGGCGAGCTGCGGTTCCCACTCACTTGCCCTTCGCCGTGCACATGGAGTAGTAGTCGTTTGTCTTTTCGCACTTGAGTCCCTTGCAGCACTTGGAGCCCTTCTGAGCGCAGTCGCCGTAGCCGGCCTCGATGCATGCGGCGTCGCCGCCCTGCTCGCCTCCGCCCTCGCCCTCGTCGCCTCCGCCCTCGCTGTCGTCACCGACTGCTGTGGTGCCTGCTGCTGCAGTGGTGTCTGCTGCTGCTGCAGTAGTACCTGCTGCTGCTGCAGTAGTACCTGCTGCTGCAGAGGTGCCTGCTGCTGCAGTGTCGTCGGTGGCCGCGGCGGTGGTGGTGGCCGTGCCGTCGGCGGTGGCGCTGTCGCCGACCGATGCTTCGTCGGTGGCCGCGGTGGTGGTGGCCGCATCGTCGGCGGCGTCGCCGTCCTGCATGCTGCGCGTGAGCTCGACGAGCCGTTCGGAGTTGGTCACCTCGGCGGCGGAGCGCGCGTGCGATCGGTAAGCGAAGTTGCTGCCGCAGGCCAGCAGGGCCAGTACCGCGAGGACGGACGCCACCTTCCATCTGCGGGCGCCGGACGCCGTGCGCTCCTGGATGGCGCTCTCCTCGGCCATCAGGGCGCACTGCTCCATGTCAGCCGGCATGCCGCCGAGCGTGGCTAGCGATGCGCGCTCGTCAGTTGATGGAGGTGCGGAAGCTGCAGCAGCTTGCCTACCTGCTTGAAACACTTTGAGCCCAAATGTGTACAGACGACGTCGGATGTATGGAAGTTGATATCAAATCCGACCGCTTCTGGAGCCTGGGGACGGAGGTGAGGGGCAACGTCGGGGGGGGGGCCGCTCAGGGGGGGAACATCGACTTGTAATCGGCGATGCAGTGCCTTTTGGTCGGCGATAAGCCCCAGATCGAGAATCCGAACGGGCGATCCATGGGCGATCGGGGGGGTCGATGCATCTTCCCCTGAGCCTACCCTTCCCTGACGTTGCCCATGCAGAAATGGTTATGGAGGCTGGTGGGCCCATCGGCCGCTGTGCGCCCCACCTCGTCACCCACACCTTTTTCACGGCTTGGCCAGGGCAAAACGAAGTCACGAAGTCTGCCAAAACCTCCCGCTCGGCCCTAATAACTCTCACGACCCTCCCAACACTCACGACCTGCCCAGCAACTCCCCACAGGCAACTCCCAGAGAAGTACACTAGACACATGTCGCCGTGCCGTTTGCTCTGAACGCGCCCGAGTAGACGAAGTCGCTACCGCGACAAACCTCACAGCAAGCCCTGCATCCGAGGCGGCGCTTGCCCTGGTGCCCGCGGCGCCCTCCCCAAGACGCAAGGCCGCGCATCGGAACAACCGGCGCGGCGACACCTGCACCAAGTCTCCCCAGCCCGACCCGAAGTCGCCGCTGGGCCTGCCACCGTCCACTGGGGGGGCCCGCACTGGAACATCGGGAACACCGCAGTGGAACCTGCGCAATCCCCCGCCCGACAGGGGTCTGGGACCCTCGGGTCGGGCCGGGGTGGCTCGGCCAGGCAGGAAGCGCTGCAGGCGGTGCGGCGGCGGCGGCCTGCGTGCCCGGGCTTGGGCCCCCGCGCGCCCCGGAAAGCCGCGCACCGCGGGCACTCTGACAGGGGGGTGCTCCCGCGTGCGGCCGACTACCTTCCCCCCCTGCCCGAAGGCCCCTCTGCCGGGGGCTTCGAACGGCACAAAAGAACACACATCCGAGCCGCCCAGGGGTATTGCTGCTCTCTGGGGGGGGGGGCACTGGGGACTTCATGTCTCTTTCCGACCGAAAATCTCTCCCTCGGGAATGCTGATCGTCACGCTTCCTATTCGAAGCCCTATGCCTGCTGCACTTCCCAACATAGAAGGCCCCCCCCCGGTCCTCTTGATGCCCACGAACGTGTTCGAATGCTCAAACCTCTGCACCTTGACGTCCCTGCCCCTGCACAAGTTCGCGCCGGGGGTGACGGCTCTGAGCTCGCTCTCCGACACGTAAGGCCAGACAGGAGCCACGGTCACTGTGAAGTGGGTGCAGCCTGGCATCGCGTCGCACTCGCGAGCCGCCTCTTCCACAGACGCGACTCCGGGTCGTCTGGCCAGAAGACGGTCCTCGGTGCTCTCCAAGTACGGGTGCTGCTCCGCGTTGTCTCCGCAGTCGGCGACGGCCCCGGGCCCCTGAATGCTGTAGTTCGGGAGGCTTGCCCGAATCTTCTCCACCCATTCGCGCGGATCGGGTGCTTTCGCCTGCTGGGCAATTACTGAACTGAGACTGGGGTTGTTGCCGCACGTGTGACTTCTGCAGTAGACATCCCTGGGTGTAGGGACCCGCCACGGCGGTATCCAGTCCCAATGTCCCTTGGCCCACTCGCTCGCCATTGATTGGGTCAGAGGGGCCTTGAGACCAAATGGCGGCATAGAGTAGGAGGTCAGAGAAGAAGGGTTAATAATGGGCGCAAGTCAGAACAATAGTTAGCAGGAACATACATTAGTAGCACGCGTGCCTACAACGCAGAACGTGAGAAATCCATATTTTTCTTGCCAGAACTAACCACTTCGATCCAACCTCCAACCCACACAGACACGCATAGACCCAGGTCGAAGCGCTGGCTTCAGCTGCTGAGGGTTTCGAATCACATGGGGAAGATCCAGATGCGACTCGAAAACAAAGAAACCAACATGCAACACAAAAACTCTCAGAGGTCCAAACTTTCGGAGGTCCGTGCAGATGTCTTGGATCGGCCCTGGAGGCCACTGGTGGCGCAAATAGCGCCTCCCCATGCGCTCTGCGCGCGCCAGGTAAATGGTTTCTAGCGCCGATCCAAGAGATCCGCGAGGACCTCCAACAAGGTACGTGCTTGCTGGGTCTCTTATTTTCGGCTGTTGAGCGCACGTGGGCCGTGGGTGCCTCGTGAACAGCTCGTGCGCTGGCTGGGCCTGCCGGTTTGCCGGCTGGTGGGCGCCCGTGGGTGCCTCGTGCGCTGGCCAGCGTTTCACGATGCTCACATAGGCTGCTCCGCACAGGTTGCACTACATATAGCACCACACAGGTGGCCCTTCATATAATGAGACACGCGGATTGCAATACGTATGCTGCATCCCATAACTTGCACCACATGGATTGCACCTCGCGGGGTGCATCCCAGATATTGCACTACGTATATTGCACCACAGGGATTGCACTCCATGCATTCCTTAGCGTGGAAAGAAATCAGATCGACCCACCCAACACAGGGTCTGGGGCTGACGACGCCCTTGTGCGTCCTGCTTGTTCAACTGTTGATGCCACACGATCGTTCACCCTAAATGTAGAACAACATCATCCCCGGCCAACCGATATCGACCCCCCTCCCCTTGCCAAATGAAATGAAGCAGGCCCCCTGCGTTGATCTAGGGAGTGCTGAGTCGTAACAGTTCCTGGTATTCCTGACGGTATGCTGAGGGCATTTTCCTTTTATCCTATAACCCTGGGGCTTGTCATGCACGAACAAATTCGGACGCCGTCTTACGGCCCCACAAACAGAGCTTGCACGGGCCCGCAGCCGACCAGGCCCAGACCCCGAAGCGCGACCGTCACTCCGCGCTCAGGCCGAACACTGGCCTGGGGTCCGCCGACCTGGCCGCCCTGGCGACCCTGCCTCGCTCCTGTGCGTCGGCCGCGCTGGCAAAGCCGAAAGAGCTCAGGGCTCCCTCGAGCCCTGGGCTGAACAGCCTCCCAGGGGCAGGCGGGGCAGGTGCCCGCTCCCGCAGCACTGGGGGCTCCACTGGTGGGGCTCTGGAGCCTGCAGGGGCCTCGGAGTCCCCCACGCCCCCAGGGCCCGCGACCGAGCCTAGCGACTTGGCCCACCTGGCGCGGGTGGCCGCTGTGGGCCGAGCCAGCTGGTCGATCGGCTGCTTGGATTTCCCAGGCAGGATCAACTTCGCGAAATCATTCCGCGCCTGCGCCCTCGATCCCTTTTTGGCCCTGGGGTCGTCAGCTCGCTGGGCCCCGCTGCAGGCCTTGGCCAGGCCCCTGTGGCAGTACCTGGGTTTCATGCAATACATCCAGCACGTCACGCAAACCAAAAACTCAGGCCCGTCCCCGCCTGAAACTCTCGATTCGCGAAGCCGGTGGCCGTTGACCTCCCAGACCCCCGATTCGCCAGGGTCGACCTGGGGCAGGCCATCCCGCGAACCACACAAAAATGAGACCCTCGACCTTTGGCCAGAGTCTGGGGTCTCCAAAATGGGCCCCGGGGTCCTCCTCTGGCTGGAAGGGCCCGAGAGAGCACTCGGAGGCGGGACGGCGGCCTCGAAGGAAGGAGAGGCCGCGGGGGAAGGAGGGGGAGGGGGCAACGACATAGCCGACATGGGCGGGCACCGTGCGTCCGCGGCAGAGGGCGCTGTCCGCTCCGCCTGCTCAGCACGGCGGCGCTGGACCGCACGATGCAAAGCCGCCGACGCGCTCGACTCAACAGCGGCTGGCTCACTGGGCCCGCCTGACCCCACGTCCGCTTCCTTCCTCATGCACTCCTTCGAGTCTGCCTGGTCCTGGGGCTGGGCTCCCTGACTTGCCGCCGCTGCCGTCGCCAGCGCTGCAGCCGCCCCTAGGGCCGCCATGCCGCCAGGGCCACGGGCAGTCGACTCCTCAGCTTCCAGCAGCAGCCCCAGGGCGGGCGACTGGGCGTAGGGGTCCAGGTCCACGAGGTCCAGCGAGGTGAGCGGCCAGGAGTCTCTGAGCCCTGACTCAGTGATGTGCACCTCGAGGGCAGCCGCGCACCTGGCCACCTCCTTCGCCCGAGCCAGGCAGCCCTCCAACATCAGGGCGTCCTGCTCCGCAATGGCATGCAAGGCCGCTCCTTCCTTTGCCCTGGTGTCGGCGCGCCTGTTGCCCACTAGCTCGAAGAGGGTGAGATCCCCGTCCTGCACCGCGGCCTCAGTGCGGTGGGCGGGCACGTGGCGAATGGTGACGCCTTCCGCCGCATCGCCCACCCTGGCCCAAACGTGGGCGTGCAGGGAGCTGGGGCCACAGGCCTTGGCCAGGTTAGACGCAGCTTTGACCGTGCTCAGGCAGTCGCTGAGCAGCGTGTAGTTCCCGATGATGTCTGCAAGGCCGATGGCGGCAGCGTAGTCCTCGCCCGCCTTGGCCGTCTGCGACGGGAGGTCGCTGGGGGGCACTGCGCCCCACGCCTCGGCGATGAGCCTCCCCTCTGGACCGTGCACGATGACCGCCAGCCCGCGCTCCTGACGTGCGGGAAATCCCCGTTCAGGCACGAACCGTCGGTGAAGACGAAAGACCCATCGGGTACCACCAGGATGCCGTCCCCCCACCCGCAGGATCGTCTCGCCCAGCAGTCATTCCAGGCTGGTCTGGCCACCAGCAGGCTGATGTCGGCGAAAAGCCCCTGGCAGAAAAGCTCGTCGAAGGGGGCTCCCATGCGGTGGACCTGCACTGCTGCCTGGCTCACCTGATATGGGCAATAGTCCCTCCTCCAGGCCGCCCAAGCTGGGCACTCATGGTGTCTGTGGTGCATCGTCCCAGGGGCGGCGCCACAGAGCTGGCAGAGCGGGTCTATTTCACGCCCATGCCTCGCCAGACGGGCCTGGGGCCAGCTGGCCAACGACGCCAATCGTCTCAAACAACCTTTGTGGTGGCCCGTCCAGGTTTCTGACTCTTTGGCCCCTAGGAGCTGGTTGATCGGCGTCCACCACGGCGGCAGCTCCCACTGCCAGAAGGTCTCGGGCCTGCTGGCGTACTCCTCGAGCGAGGCCGCCTGACGCGTGTCCTCCTTGACCCTGGCTGCGAGGAAAGCGGGCGAGTATCTCATGACATCGAACTCGCAGCCCTCCCTGTCGGTCAGGATGCGACCGCCTGCTCTGAGGCTCCAGCCGACCCGCCTTAGCGTGAGCACCAGCGCCGAGACGGGTCGCGCACCGCGGCCCACGGCCTCTGCAACGAGCCCAGACGGCTGCTGTCCCTGAGGCAGGCCTGCACTGCCGCAGGCGAGGCCTGGCCAGACCAGCTCATGGCCGCAAACGCCTGGACCGCCATGCCCGTCGCGATTACCAGCGGATCCTGCCTCCAGCCCTGGGGCGCGCACTGCAGGCAGAACGTCAGCGCGGCGCCCGTCGGCAGGTTGCAGGCGGCTTTCGCTGCAGATATCCTGAGCGCCCTCATGCGCCCAGGAGGTATCCCGCTGATGGCCGAGCCCCACAGGGCCTTGGCCGTGGGGCCTGCCCTCTGGATCTTGGCCTGCCTCATCCCCGAGCCGAAGATCCTGGTGAGGTTGTTGCCCTGCCGCAGCGCCGCCAGCTCCCTGGCCACCTGCGTCCCGACCCTGCGGTGGCTGCCCGCTGTCGCGTCTCCTCCGAGGTCGCGGTGGCCAGCGACAAAGGCTTCGTCTGCGACGACCCAGTTGGCGTGCTGCTGCAGCTCTCTCCTCAGCTTCGCTGAGGAAGACAGTGCTTCGGTCTTTCCCCAGTTGATGGGGAGCCGCTTGTCCCCCAGCATGGTGGCAACTCCCTTCGCGAACCTGGCGATCTGCTCAACGACGAGCCTGCGCGTGCCGATGCCGTGGCCCGAGATGTCATCAATCACGTTGACCACTCTGCCTATCGGCAGCAGCTTCCTCGACTGCAGGAGTAGGTCGTAAAGCATGATCCTCGCCATGGTCGTCGCACAGGAGCAGCCAGCGATGACGGTGTCGTCTATGACCAGCTGCTCGCTGAGGGCTAGGTCAGCCCTGGCTCTGCGAGGGCCCGAGTACAGCACACACAGCGCCTTTATCAACCCAGTGTTGAAGTCACAGCCTCGAGCCGCTTCGAGCAGCAGCTCGTGGCTGATCTGCTCGTAGAACTTGCTGATGTCGAAGTAGACCGAGGCCGCTTCGAAGTTCTTCTCTCGCGCGAGGCCGAGCAGAAGGTTGTGAATGCAAGCCGCCCTGTCGCAACAGGTGTCCGTGTCTGCCCCCCAGAATTCGGGGAGCTTGTGGTCCTTCTTCCAGGCCGCGCAGTACTTGCGCCTGATGCGGCTCCAGATGCGCAGCCACATGCAGAGGAGACCGATCGGGCGCCGGCCCCCGTCGGGCTTCCCCAAGAAAACAATGATCGTGGTAAAAAGCTCCGACGTCTGAGGGCGGCGTTCCCAGGCTGTCAAGATCTCGGCCAGCCTCTCGGCGTACACCCTGCCTAAGCTGAGGATGAGCCTGGGGTGGAATGCGTCCCATCCCAGCGCCGTCTTCCTGGGAAAGGTCTTCGCCGCTGCCAGCACCTCCTCCGCCGTGATCGCGTCCAACCCGAAGGGTTCCTCCCAGTTCTCTGGGCGGACGCTGGAGGAGCCGTCCTTGTGCCACAGCGCCTTCCACTCTTGCAGGATCCTGTCCAGGGCCTGCTGCCCGACTAGCGGGACTGGGGGGGCCTCGCCCTCTCCTGGGCCGAGG